TCTTGTCCTTGCAGACACTAGATGGATCCTGGAGACTAATGCTAGCACAACCAAGAAACAGCCCTGATCACAGCCAGAAGCAATATCTTTGCTAGAGCAGGTAATATAGTCTCCGGTATGTAGAATGCAGCCATTGATTTGGCAAATGTGTTATTTTCTATTTCAGTCCAGAAAGATGATCAGAAACAGTTTGCTCCAGGGTTGTGTTAACTTTTCAACCATTTGTCATAATATAGCCTGAAGACATCTGGACCATCTGGACATATCACAGAACATCATGTTGATTCATTACATTGATGACATCATGCTGATCAGGTAGGATGAGTAAGAGGGCGCTAATATGCTGGAGACCTTGGCAAGGCACATGCACTCTAGAGGGAGATAAACCCTACAAAAATTCAGGTAGGTACCATCTGCAGCGGAGGATTACACGTTTTTTGTAAAACAGAATGCTCATGGGCCCTGATAGAGTTGGAATGCTCAGCCTGGGTACCAAGTGACTACGAGTCTAGGACTGCCCATCATGGGTCAGGAACAAGTCGTAAAGTCAGGTGGGCTCAGTAGCAATCCATTATGAGATGGAAATAGTACATCCGGGACTAAACGTGAGCAGAAAGATATGACACAAGCATGTGGCATCAACAGTGGGTCCAGAACCCCGTGGTATCCACCATGTCCCATCATAGCATCCACTATGTAGCAGTACCCCTCTTCGGCTCACATTAGTAGCCATATGGGACTTCCATTTAACCACCTGAAAGAGGAAGAAAAAACTCTAATTTGGTTTATGGGTGGATTGATTCCATACATGGGCAAAAACCAAATGTGCATGCAATCTGCATGATAGCTATATTCAGGGGTGACACTGATGAGACACTGGGCAAAAGACAAATTTCAATGGGCAGAGATTCAGGAGGTGCCCCTGGTCATCCAGTTTGTGTCAAAGGAGAAGTGGCCTGAAGTCAAAGTGTATATAGACTCGTGGACAGTGGTGAATGGTCAGGGAGCTGAAAGCAGAAAAATTAGAATATCAGAGACAAGGAGGTCTAAGAAAGAGACACGTAGGTAGGCATATGAGAGTGGGCACAGATGTGGAGATTTTTGTATCCTATGTTAATGCCCACCAGAAAGCACTTGCATGGTGTGGGCACCAAATAACCAGGTGGAAAAAATAACTTGACCAGTTGATGTTCACTAGCATAATAGGCAAACAGATGACATGGCCACAGTGGCAGAGATGGAGGCTTTGTATAGGTTGAAAACCATGGACTCCACTTACTAAAGCTGATCTAGTAGTGACTACCTACTTTGAATGTTCAACCTGTCAGCAACAGACACCAATGCTGAGCCCCCTGTATGACACTATTCCTTGAGGAGAACAACAATCACTTTGTAACAAACGAACTACATGGGGTCCTTTTCATCCTGGAAGGGTCAGTGCTTCTTCTCACAGGAATGGATACTTAATCTAGATATGGGTTTGCCTTTCTCGCCTGTAGGGCCTCAGCCAGGACTACAGTCAAGCCAGTTACAGACTGCTTGATCTACACACATGAAATATAGCACAGTGTCCAGCCAAGAAACACATTTCACAGATCCACTAGTTATGTCAGGTACTGCCGCATCTAGAAGCTACTGGCTAAATAGAGTATTGGCATAGTGTGCTTAAGGTACAGCTGAGGCACCAGCTCAGAGGCAATACCCTGCAAGGATGGAGACAACATCCTCCAGAACATGGTATAGACATTGAATTATAGACCTTTATATGGCGCTGTGTCCCCAATAGGAGGAATGCACAGGCCCAGGAACTAAGAGGAGGAAGCAGGAGTGGCCTCACTTACCATAACTCTCAGGGGCCCCTCAGGGGGTCCCCACAGCTCTGGATTCTGCAGGGTTAGAGGTCCTGATCCCCAACATGAGTGCATTCTAGCCAGGGGACGTAGAAAAGATCCCATGGAACCACAAACTACAGCTTCTGCTTGGACACCTTGAGCTCTCTGTGGCCAGGGAACAGCAGGCAAGAAGGGAAGTCACCATCTTGTGAGGGGGAATTGATCCTGATAGGCAGGAGGAGGTAGGATTCCTGTTACATGATGGGAGCAGGGAGGAACATGTATGGAATTCAAATGACCCCTGTGGGTGCCTCTTGGGACGCTCTTCACTAATTGTGACAAATATAGTGATGTCGTGACAGAGGCTATCCATGGGTAAAGTTAACCAGGGTTCAGACACTACAGGAATGAGGGTTTGGCACACACCACAAGGGAAGCCACTGAGGCCAGCAATGCATCAGTGGACTTTGGAATGGATAGTAGATGAGAGAGATGAAAGTACCAGTTGTGGCCATGAGATCAACTGTAGCCATGGAGGTGTAGTTCTTTCCACTAACCTCACTTCTGTTTCCCCTCAGGAAGAGACGCCTACCAGAGCCCTGGAGAAGCTGCTCCCTAAATGTTTTTGTGAAGTGGATCCACATGGCACGCAAGGTAAACTGTGGTAGGTGTGGAGACGTGTCAATCAGATCCTCTTTCAAGAAAAGAGTCACTCACCTGCAAGGAGTGTGGTAAGCTGACAGTTCTCAGCTGTTAGTGTTCTCAGAGTCAGCTTCAGGTTTTCATCCTCTGTTTTTCTCAGGGTGGTCTCCAGCCAATGACTGAGCAAGGCCTAACCATATCCATCCACTGGGGAACTTCTTTAAGGGACCATCTTTGCCCTGGAACTCCCTGTTGGTCTAGCCTGCCCAATCCTGCTTCTGCCCCTTCTCTTTCATAGGTGCTATCCCCCATCAACTTTTGCATTCCTAACTGTTCAGAGTCTGCTTCTGGGAGAATCTAACCTGGACACCAGTCAATTGGAAACAGGCCCCTGAACTGAAATTGTTTCCTGCTCCCAACCCTTGGATATGTGACCTAACTAATCAGAACTGCTGTTTACTCCTATATGAAATTAAAGATATTTACTCCTTTTTAAATATTTAAAATGAACATGTGCAGGAAAATGCTTTATAATTGGAAAATCTCTACGTAAACTGTTGTAGTTTTTGTTAAAAGGCCTAGAGAGTTAAAGCATTTCCCAGATTACCTAACAATGCTCAATAGTTTTAAAAACTTCAAACAGATAATAGTTTCCAAGCCCTTTCAAAAGGCTGGTATGATGTATGTGGTTTTTCTGTAGCTTTACTTATTCCCAGGGAGTAATTTATACACTTAGATATCTTGCTTGACAATCAGATACAGACCTAAATAAAGAATTGTAGAGTATCACAGTAACCTGTCCTGGGAATTTTGGTTTGTTTCTTTTCATTTCTAGGCTAACAACTACTAAGAGGAAACAAGAAACACTGAAGCATCTCTTTTGACAAAACACAGTGGCCAGAGTATTGGGGGGAAGTACTTAACACCTGTATAACCACAAACCAATTTTGTCCAGCACTATTGATAAGATGTAATTTTAAATGTGTATAAATATAATTTTAATATATATACATAAAATGTATGTATAAACATTCTTTTAGCACTCATTCTCTGTATGCATTGCTATATACAATGTGATCATGTCAGTAATGTTTTGTTAGAAAACCCTTTAGCAGTTAATTTTTAGCAGAAAAGAAGGGAAATTTTTCTATATTGTGCTATCCTTTGCTTAGCTGGTTATTTCTCACTTGAAATCGGTTTTATCTTTCTGCCTTTCAAAAGGTGTCTTTGATTTGCATTTTTGAGCTGACACAAAGTTCACAGTTAAAAGCTGGGAAAATTTGTGTTTGCATATAAAGGAGGGTAAAAAGGTTAAACACCAAAGTCCTTTTTCTATTTTGCCCATCTTGGCCAAAGAGCCTTTTGTGAGAGGGGAGATGTGGGGTGTCAAAGCAGATCTATAGGTCTCAAATGTCTAGCGAAGTGACAGGGCTAAAATTTTTAGCTATTTATTCCCAAGTCAGGATGGTAATGAGCTAAGTTTAGCTGACAATGCAAGGTTAATCCCAATGGCTTTGCATATATTTTAGAAATATGAATAAAAGAACAAATAATTCCCATTGTACTTTACCATGGTGCACAATACCTGCACTGTGACTTGGGCACTAATTGGAAAGAGAATGCCAATAATATAAACAAGATTGTAAAATCTACTAGGCAATTTTAAGAACGAGTTTCATCTTTGAGCCCACCCAGGGACGTCAAACAAACAAAAAAAACATACACAAAAAAACAAGAAAAAAAGAAAAAGAATGAGTTTCATCATAGTTTAGTAGGAATAGTTCTTCAGATTATTATTATTTTTTGTATGTGTACTCTGGGAACACTGATAATTGAATACAACTTCAAAAGGGCTAAAGCCCAGCGACCTCAAAACGAGGTTCACAGAACAGTACACAATGATGAAACTTGAAGCAATAAAACACCAATGAACTGAAATGTGAACATTCATACTCTCAGGACGTGACTGAATTTTTATTTCATTTTATTTTGTTTTGGAGTGTTACTGGGTTGTCTTCAGACACCTTTCATATCTTAAATTTTGTCTCAAAGGTGTTAGGGGAGAATCCAACAGTTTGGGAAACCCAAAAAAGTTTAGCGCATAGTTTCCCCGCTGTTACAGGGTACTTCTTTCCGAACACAGTTTGTCCATCCAGATTCCTTCAGAGCGAATGGAAAGCAAATTTACATTTGAAAAGCTCTTTGAATGCCTGGAGTTCGAAAAGTCTCAGTTCCTCCGCCTTTGTTCCTCTTTCTCTGGGTTCGAAGGCCACCTGTCCAGCCTTCCACACCTGCCACTATCACCGCGCTCAGAGCCGGGCGACGCAGCCGGAGGGCCGCGGGCTCCAGCCTTGGGGAGGACGAGGCTGCGCGGAAGGAAAGAGACGGGAGCGCGGCCGCTCGCAGGCAGCTTTGGGGAACGCGGAGGGGCGGTGCCGCCGCGCGCGGGCTGGGTGCGCGCGCCGCCGCCGGCGTCGCGTCACCAGCGTGCGGCACGTGCCCGTGTTTACGTCCCTCGTGGAGCCGCCGACGTCAGCAGCCGAATGGCAACATTGTGGCGATGCTGAGGCTTAGAGTTTAGAAGACGAATCCATCCGTCAGGCCGATCCTGGGCATTCGGCAGCAGGAGGAGCAGAGACAGGGAGATCGGCCTGGGCGAGCTGCGGGGACGCACACACCGCCAGCCGGACCCCGCGGGACCGCGCCTCCTCGGCAGAGCGCGGCATACGCAGCCCCACGGCCTCGCGTGGGGGGCGGCGGGCGGCCGCGAGGCGCTGCCGCAGCGCGGGGCTTGTAAACAGATCCGGCCGCACGTGACCATGTGAACTACCTGCTCCTGGGACGCGTATTGTCCTTCCCGAGAGCAGCGCCACAAAGGAGCTCAGCGGTCCGAGTGTGGGGGGACCGGCGAGCGAGCGCGGAGAGCCGGCCGGCGCGCTAAGATGGCTGAAGGCGCCCGGCGAGGGTGAGCGGGGGGCGCGGCGCAGCCAGCCGGGGAGTCCTCGGGCGGGCAGGGCCGGCGGCCCTCCTCCGCGGCCCCAAGCCGGAGCCACCATGTCGTTCGCGCTGGAGGAGACGCTCGAGTCGGACTGGGTGGCTGTGCGGCCCCATGTGTTCGACGAGCGCGAGAAGCACAAGTTTGTGTTTATTGTGGCCTGGAACGAGATCGAGGGCAAGTTTGCTATAACCTGCCACAACCGGACGGCCCAGAGGCAGAGAAGCGGCTCCCGGGAGCAGGCCGGGGCGCGGGGGGGCGCCGAGGCCGGCGGACCTGCGTCGGACGCGAGCCGCGGGCCGGGCAGCCCGGCGGGCAAGGGCCGGCCCGAGGCCATTGCCTCTGCGACTCCCGTCAAGAGCCCCGGGCCCCGGCGGAACCCGGCCTGGGCAGAGGGCGGCTCTCCGCGGAGTACGCGAAGCTTTCGGGGAGACCCGTTGCTGCGGACTCCGGGCGGGAAAGGAGGGGAGAGTTCTCTCAGAAGCCCCGTGCGGGCCAAGCCCAGCCCGGCCCGGAGAGCATCTGAAGCCAGGGATGCAGCGGGGACTGCCGCTGCGGCAGCCCGGCCAGCATCCAGAGAAGCTCCGGTGTCCTCCGTGCGGGTAGTGAGCGCCTCTGGGGCCGTCTCCGAGGAGATCGAGGTGCTGGAAATGGTGAGGGAGGACGAGGCGCCCCTGGCGGACGCGGAGCAGCCGCCGCCCGCCGCCGAGCTGGAGTCTCCCGCCGAAGAGTGCAGCTGGGCCGGACTCTTCTCCTTTCAGGACCTGCGCGCCGTGCACCAGCAGCTGTGCTCCGTGAACTCGCAGCTGGAGCCGTGCCTGCCGGTGTTCCCAGAGGAACCCTCGGGCATGTGGACTGTGCTGTTCGGGGGCGCCCCCGAGATGACCGAGCAGGAGATAGACACCTTGTGTTACCAGCTCCAGGTCTACCTGGGCCACGGCCTGGACACCTGCGGCTGGAAGATCCTCTCCCAGGTGCTCTTCACCGAGACCGACGATCCCGAGGAGTATTATGAAAGCCTCAGCGAGCTGAGGCAGAAGGGCTACGAAGAAGTGCTTCAGCGGGCTAGGAAGCGCATCCAGGAGGTAAGATTCTAGTGTGGGCTCCAGTCGCTTTCGGTTACTCACTACCAAAGGCTGGAGCTTTGGTCTGGCGTGTGCGCAGGTGGGACGCTTGTTTTTCTAAACAAGGGGAAACGAAAAGAAAAAAAAAAAGAGGTTCTTGGTGTATCTCTCCCTTTATTCCTTCCTGTAGCTTTCTTTAATTGACTCTCTGAAGGACCTTCGTCTTTAGATTTCTTTCCTCATTAATCAAATAGATTCTGTGTATTAAGTGCTCTCTCTATACCACTCAGTACTGGTAATACGCGATTAAAGCCACTCAGAAAAAGGTATCCGGTAAACATAGCCTCACTGAGCATTTCACTGCCCCTAAAGCTCTTTGCAGCAATAACTGCCCAGATATCAGCTCTTTCCCTGGTGTCATGTTTATTTATTCAGAATAGTTTGTCTTATGGAGTAAAGTTGATCTTCTGTTTTTATTCTCAGTACGCAGTCTGGCAATGTACACAAATTTTAAATTCTTTTTAAAGTGAGTGATCTGTCCAAGTGAAAAAGTGCCAACTGACAATTGGATGCAAATGTACTTTTAGAAGGTTTTATACACACTTGAGGAATATTTCAAGTCTTTACAGGTGGCTCAGGTTTCGCTCCTGTTTTAGGGAAAATAAAGGTCCTAGGTAGGAATGTTCACTGTCCTTTTGTTTTTACTGTAGGAGTAAAAGGGGTGCAGAAGCTTTTCAAACTATCTAATCCTTAAGCAAAGATAATGGAAAAAACTGCATGAGTGTACATATGGAGCTCTACAATGTGTAAGAAGCATACAATTTGCAGTCATGCTTACTTACAGTTTCTGCTCAACTTTACTAAAATATTTTGAAATACATGTAGTTTTCTTTGATGGACACCACAGGTAGTTTCTCAAAACAATTTATTTATTTTTATTTTTTTAATTTTTTTAGACAGTCTCACTCTGTTGCCCGGGCAAGAGTGCCATGGCGTCAGCCTAGGTCACAGCAACCTCAAACTCGTGGGCTCAAGCAATCCTTCTGCCTCAGCGTCCCAAGCAAGTACCTGGGACGACAGGCATGCGCCACCATGCCCGGCTCATTTTTTTTATATATATTTTTTAGTTGTCCAGATAATTTCTTTCTATTTTTTTTTTTTTTGGTAGAGACGGGGTCTTGCTCTTGCTCAGGCTGGTTTCGAACTCCTGAGCTCAAAGGATCCGCCCACCTCGGCCTCCCAGAGTGCTAGGATTACAGGCGTGAGCCACCACACCTGGCCCTTGAGCTGCTTAAATTTTACATTGTTATCTCTTTTTTAAAAAAAAATTTTTTTAAGATGATTTCACTCTGTCACCCAGGCTGGAGAACAGTGGCAACATCATAGCTTACTGCAGCCTGGAACTCCCGTGCTCAAGCAATCTTCTTGCACCATGCCCGGCTATTTTTTTTTATAATTAAAAATTTTTTTGTAGAAATGGGGGTTTCTCTATGTTGCCTAGGCTGGTCTTGAATTCCTAGGCTGAAAGGGATCCTCCTGCTCTGGCCTCCCAAGACAGGGATTATAGGTGTGATTCACCACACCTGGCCTAACATTGTTATCTTAGGAGTTTGCAGTAACCTTTTTTTTTTTTAAGGTAAAATCTTTATAGAAGTTGTCACGTTTGTATTATTTTGTTGACTGTAGTAATTCCACCTAATTCAGTGTTGTCTTTCATTCCTAGTTCTCAAATTGACTTAGTTTGCGGAATTGGTGATAGCTTTTTAAGTTAAGTATGTCTGGTAAATCAAATACATTCTTAAGGATGTCATACTGAGAAAATTTAGTCTTTAGGTCATGTTTTTCCTTCTTTAATTTTTATGGATCTATTTTATTTTTTGGTCTTTTTTTCCTGCAGTATTCCTTTTCCATTCCATTTAAAAGTTTCAGCTTAAAGACCGCACCTGTTTTTGATTCAAAATGATCAGTAAATTGTTGAAAGGAGTTGTGGTTTTCTTTCTTTTCTTCTTTTTTTTTTTTTTTTTTGAGACAGAGTCTCAATCTGTTGCCTGGGCTAGAGTGCCCTGGTGTCAGCCTAGCTCACAGCAACCTCAAACTAATTCCTGGCCTCAAGGGATCCTCCTGCGATTTAGCCTCCCAAGTAGCTGGGATTACAGGCACCTGCCACCTTGCCTAGCTAATTTTTTCTATTTTTTTGTAGAGATGGGGTCTGGCTGGTCTTGAACTCCTGGCCTGGAGTGATCCTCCCCCCTCAGCCTCCCAGACTGCTAGGATTACAGGGCGTGAGTCACCGGGCTGTTCTTTTCTTTTTTTAAAATAGGACGGGCTATGCAACTAGTTTGTAAACTTCTCAAGGTCACTGGACTTGAGAATATCTTGGAATTCTCTTTGCCTGGTTCTCTAGGCCACACATCATATGAGCACTTTTAATATTAGTGGACAGAGTACACTAGAATGTTTTGTTACTATTGCAAGAATTTAAAGGACTTGGAAGAAGTGTTCTTTTAATGTGAAGTTGTGGATAAATGCAATTTTTAGAAATCGATAAATATAAATTCCTCAAGGGACCCTGTTTTAAAAACTAGGAGAAAAAATTCTTAAAATTGTAAATAACTTCCTCAATAAGAGGTCTTTAATTAGGTTGGTGAATTCCCCGTAAAAGGGGCTATGGATGGGGTTTAATGGGGGTACCTTAAGTAGCATACAAAGTTTTATATATGTGGGCATGTGTGCATTTTTGAGAAAAACTTTCATCATACTTTTAAATGTATTCCTCAGAGTTCAAGTTTTGCAATACCCTTATGATTTAGTATGGGATCGTAAGAAGTACTCCCGTATCTTTGTTTTGTGAAATATTGAGAAATTAATTGCACTGGGTTTTCTGCTAAAAGTTTTTGTTAATGATTTACAACTTTGATCAACTGATAGGAAATTATTATACTTTGTGAGGACTTAAAATTCATACGTTACTATTGAGAAATTATTTTAAGATGATAGTTGTAAGATTATACAGGCATACCTCAGAGATACTGCGGGTTTGATTCCAGACCACAATAAAGCGAATACAGCAGTAAAACAAGTCAACAGTATGTTTTTGGTTTTCCAGTGCATATAAAAGTTATGCTTACCCTGTAAGGTATAGTATACTACTTAGGGGGTCAATCCAAATGAAATGTGAAATTTGTTACTGGTAGGTTTTTGTCTTTGGACTTTTTAATAAGGGTTTACTGTTGGAAGTACTATTTATACAGCAGGCACTGAATTCCTAAATGAATGCAAGTGCCACCAAGACCTGTTTGAACAGTTTCAGCAATAGCCTTGGTTGTTGGTCAGAGCTGAGATTTGTATTATGGTATGTGTACATTGGTGGCTCATACTGCAGCTTACCTTTGATGACCTGGATTTTGTAAATAATGGTTTGTGAATAAGGTATAAGGACAGCTACTGTTGAGATTAATTGTGGTGCTTTAGATGGTAAACTTTAATTGTGATGATAGGCTTGATTAAAATCTAAAAATCAGTGTTCACTTTGCAATTTCTGTTTAAAAATGTGCTCAATTCTGACTTCTTTTCAATGGAAATCACTGTTTGAGAGGAGCATGTGTTTTCAAAAGTAGTCTTGTTAAGTTATGCAGTAGACAGCTTACCTAATGTTTGGAGATAGGACTCACCACTTTTGATGAGCTGCTTCGTTATTTAACCTCTTTTAAAAAAGGAAATGGGGGAAATGTTAATACTTAAAGGATATCTTAAGATTTAAGTAAGACTGTATGAAAAAGGTGACAGGGCAAGTGCCTAACTAACAAAGTGCCTGGCACTTACAAAGGCTTCCAGAAGTGTTATTTTCCTTTCTTTCTTTCTCCAGAGTTTTCCACTCAACTCTCTGTTTTTGCAGGGATTGTATCTCATATTTGTTGGTACCTCTTAGGCACTTCACCTTATACCTATCTCCTTTTATCCTCTCCACTATCTTTGGAGGTAAGTGGGTGTTTTATGCCTATTTTACTGAAGCAGAAGTTGAGACTTAAAGTTGTTATGTGCGTTTGGCTAAGGTTAAACAGCTACAGAGTAACCAAACTCAGATTCAAACCTAGACTTGTCTTAATCCATGCTTGTGCCTTTTCTGCCATGTCTTGTGGCCCGTTGGGTTTCTTGATCCAAAGGCCTACATTCTTTCCCTGGAGATGTTAGAAGGGATGCCATTTTCCACTCTTGAGAATGGGAAAATGGTGATATTTTAAAATTCTGGTCAGTTCAGTAATGACTTTTAAATTAAGATAACTTATTTTATTTACGTATGTATGTATGGAGACAAGAGTCTTGCCGTATCACCCGGGCTACAGTGCTGTGGCATCAGCCTAGCTCACAACAACCTCAAACTCCTGGGCTCGAGTAATCCTCCTGCCTCAGCGTCTCGAGTAGCTGGGACTGCAGATGCGTGCATCCACGCCCGGCTAATTTTTTCTATTTTTATCTATTTTTAGTAGAGACAGGGTCTTGCTCAGGCTGGTCTCGAACTCCTGAACTCAAGCAATCCTCCCACTTCAGCCTCCCAGAGTGCTAGGATTACAGGCATGAGCCACTGTGCCCAACCAAGATAACTCATTTTATTTCAAATTAGTTATGACAGGCACAAGGTAGGGCAGTCTGTGTTTTCGAAGAAAGAGGTTGCCTAGTGGTGCAGGGATTGGTTTTGTTAGGGAACAATGCCCAATCATGGTTTCCTTTTGTATCTTAAAATGTCTCAACTAGAAACAGCTCCTGACTTCTGAGGTTAACACAAGGGGAAAGGAGCTGTAAGAGTAACTTTTGCTTTCCAGCTGTCCGCAATTGTGATTTCTCTAATTTCTTAAAATACTAGGATTAGTAGTAAAACTCTGGAGCCCTGCTGAAACCCCAGCTATATAAGTTAGAGAAATGACAGTATTGTAAGAGTCTTAGGATGCTGTCTTTCATTGTGGGCCAGCAAGCCATGACCTAGGACATTAGAAGCAGGCTCAGGGAAGGATATAATATGATTG